CCAATTCGCCGGTCGATCTCTTCCTCCAACTTTCCATCACTAGTAAATACAGTTCTGAGGTACTTTAACTTCTCCACCTGCTCCACTGTCTCTCCGTTAATCTGAAGAGAGCAACGGGCAGGAGAACGAGAAAAAACTAGGCTTTTCGTTTTAGATGCGTTTACACGCTGCTCACCTTTTTGAGGTCAAAAAATGAGTACCACTAAGCTAGAAGGAAGCAGAAGACAACACGCTAAGCTTGACACGTAAACTCTGCCTTTAAAATAACGCCCTCCTGGCTAATGGCCTAGAAAAACAGATCAGTATAGTGCCATCAAGTACATGAAAGAAGGGCGCCAAAATGGCCCAATCATAAAAGAAAAGGAAAACCGGCATTCCAACGGTGGCAAATTGATATTTCCTTTGACTACAAGAGAAATGGTGTCTCAAGTATTAGAGGTTATTTGCTGCAACGACGTCGAATGGACGCCTCGTTCGATCTCATTCCGCAAGTCACAGAAGGTGCCAAAGATCGCTTCTTTTTATATGACGATGAGAAAAATAAAAGTTCATGGATAAACTAGAAAATCACTTTAGAGTAAGTTCCGAGGTCTCACGAACTAACGCGATATTACCATGGCTTGGCTATCCACTCAATGATAACATTTAGGTAAGACCATTGAATTTCAGTCTGTATTTAGATGAGTCCCACTGAGTTTTCATTTCTGCACATGACACGCGCATCTGAGGTGCTCTATTTTTATGCAGTTAATGCCGGACCATACCTCGCAGATCATGAAGAGGAAAGTGACATTTTTCGTTACGTTAAATTTTTGGGGTGCAGTGTCACGGTGGCAAGAGGTCGACTTCTAACTTCGGAGGTGCAAATTCAAAAAATTTTCTGTATTCGCTACTTCCATAGTGACGAGTCCGTGGTCTCGGTCCAATGCCGAGAAATGGGGAACGAGCCGCTGACTTGCGAACAACAGGGACAGTGTGATGTTCTGACGCGGGCGTACCAGAATGGGAGAGCGGTACGGTCACGATGTCGAATGTGGGCACTTCGAAGGGCTGCAGTTCACCTTGGCCCAC